TATTAATTATGTAACATTGCAATTACTCTATTAATAAAGATCACGAGAAATGCCTCACTTAACATTTAAAAAAAAAAAGTATTGGTTGCTTAAATACCAATACATAATTAGATTGGATCATAAATTCTTCCTTTTTTAAGTTTCAATGAAACTATAGCACACTGATAAATATATGATACATCTGTATTAAAATCACAAGTTCAATTTTTGATGATAATAAAATTTTTATGGATTTATTCCAGAAGTGATCATAGTAAATGTAAGTTGTCTTATTACCATAAATCTTTTATCAAAATATTATAGTGCTATAAATTTCATTAAAGATCTGGAAATTTTATATAGAATTATTGCAAGATGATTTATTTCAAGCAATTCTAATACTAGGAACTGGATATAATATCAGTAAGTGTCAGTTACTTGACTACCAATATATGATCAGGTTGGACTATAAATTTCCTTTTTTAAAACCTATAGGTTTATAATACAGTAGTTAATACTCTACAGATCAAATTACAAGATACCAGTTCAATCCTATATAAGAGTAATTGAACAGAATAAATATAATATATAATATCATAACCTGTAAAAAGCACTGTTTCTTATGAGAAGCTGTTTTACACACTGATTCAACAGGTATTGAAATTGTAATTTTCAGAAAAAATGTTATAGTACAATGATTATTTGATTGATATTACAATAATTATTGAAAGTTGCAAGGTATATAAGATATTTACTTTCAGTAAGATAGTTTGGTAATTATTTTCCTGTAGTATTTGGTATCTCTTCTTGTAAGTTTTCAGAAAGATCTTATTCCAATTCAGTAATAGATTACTTTGACAGTTACTTATTTCAGGAAGGTAGCCAAAACAGCTATAAATATCAATAGCCGAAACAATTTATAGGCAGTAAGTCTGTAAGATAAGTTTCTTGAATATTCTTGGATAGCTTTAAAAAGGTGAAACAAGTCAAGTGGTCAGATTTAAAAGAATTTTCTTTTCAGGAGTTCTATTTGTCTAATAAGTATCACTTCCAGTTTCTTTCTTCATACTTTCCCTTAATATATTCCTGATTAGAAATAGAATTTAATATACAATAATAATACTAATAAAGCTTTAGCACATTACCGTATAGTGCTTAATATAGTATCCCTGATATTATTCAAAAAATTCTATATTAACTTAAATAGTACCCAGGAGGATATTATGTAAAAAGGGAGGTACTATTCATTAATAATATTAAATATAGATCATAAGGTAATACAAAAATTCATATAATATAAAATATAAAATATTATAATTTTTTTTTAATGATAGCTCTGCATGCTAACAAATCTATAAAACATTCAAGAATAACAAAAAAATTACGTTGTCAATGAAATGTATATGAAAAACTTGTAGCTATTATATATTTATGAAAAAGGACATAGTAAAAATAAAACTGCAGCTAAATTTAATATTCAAACAAAACAACTTTGAGATTGATTATCTAAAAAAGAGCAACTTTTAAATGCACAACCTAGTTTAAAACAATTAAATAATGGCAAATCTTCTAAATATCCAGTTTTGGAAGTTACTTTGGTTGACTGGATTAAAGAATAAAGAAAAAATCAACATATTATTTTACAAAGTATGGTTCAAATGAAGGCAAAAACACTTACGCAACAATTACAATGGCAAAGTATTTATTCTGATATTCAATCTTTTATTTTTAATAATAAATGATTGGATGGTTTAATGTATTGTAACAATTTGAGAAATTGCTGTAAAACTACTATTGCACAATATTTACTGGAAGATTTAATTGAAAAACAACAAGAGTTTTAATATTTATTATGTATCGACGTATATAGCATAATTATCCATTAGCATTTATCAGTAATATGGATGAGACTTCTATGACATTTGATCTTTCAAGTAATACAACAATTGATGAATTGGGGGCTTGATCTATTAACATTTGTACAACAGGGCATAAAAAAACAAATTTTACTATAATATTAAGCAGCATAGCTGATGGAACGAAACTTTCTCCTACTATAATTTTTAAACTTAAAAATATTCCACGAGGAAATTTTCCATCAGAAATAATTATTCGAGCTAATCCAACAGGATGGATGAATGAAAAAGAAATGCTTTATTGGATTGAAAATGTTTGGATCAAATATACCTTACTATCTAATCCACAATCATTACTTATTTTAGATTTATTTTCAGTGCATATAGTTAATTCTGTAAAATGTCGTTTTGATAAAAAAAAAACAAATTTGACTATTATTCCTGAAGGATTAACATCGTGTCTCCAACCTTTAGATGTTGCAATTAATAAATTATTTAAAACAAAAGTAAGAATTATATATTAATATTGTATTTTTAAAATTTTATTATTTAATAAATTTTTTTTTTATTTATAGATATGACAACATTATAATGAGTGGATGGCTGAATCTATAATAGAACTAATACCCACTGGTAAAATTAAAAAACCTTCTTACAAGACTATTGCAAGTTGAATTAATGCTTCATGGAATGCAGTTGATATTGGCTTAATTCAACATTTATTCAAATATTGTAATATTTCTAATAATCAAAATGGAACTGAAGATAAGCTAATATTTGATAATAAAATTTATGAGATACCAAATTTAACAAGTGATAATATTAAAGTGTTGGAAAATAATAATAAAAATATAGAAATAATTAATCTTAGTAATAGTATTGAAAATAACTATTATATTGAACAAGAAATAAATTATTCAAATATATGTGATGATTAAAGGTATAGATTATAATTAAATAAATTTAGAATAAAAATTTTATAGAATTACATTTTTCTTAATCAATATACATACAATACAATTTTAACTTGTCTAAATTCAAAAATATTTAGATTTGACTAAGGTAAATAGAAAACTTTATTTATATTTTTTTATTATCTGATAAATAATAATAATATGTGATATCGAATAGCAACAGCACCAGTGACAAAAAGAATTAGAAAACATAAGACAGGAGAATAACGAAAAATAAATTGAGTTAAGAGCAACTACCTACCATAAGAAACCAGTGGAATGGCTTAGGAAAGAAAAATAAGAGAATGCAACTGAGAGTCGAGATGGCAAGTAAGTGAAAAGAAAGTGAGATATAATACACCTGTTGCTCACATTGAGCCTGAGACTAAGAAGCACCTGAGTCAAAAACAAATGCCGTCTAGAGAAACAAGTATCGTTAGTACCTGCAAAAAGAAGATACCAATCTCAGATAATAAAATCAAAAAGATACTAACTGATGAGATCGGCCACGAGAGATCTTATGACGCGAATAATGAAAATGGTTCATGCGAAGTAAGACAATGGAAGAACGGAAAGACTGATGGTGACAATGAAAAATGGTTAATATCCTTTGAGTATAATAAAGGAAAGCGGTATAAAAGACAAGTAGTAATTCTGACTCTAATGATATACATGTGATGTAAATTATTTTGCTGTTGACTCAATTCCCAAAATCCTCAAAAATAATTGCGTCATAACTTAATTATTTATATGTTTTAATAGTGACTCAATTAATTGCATCAAATAATTGCGTCAATTGTGTTAAGGATCTATGAATTTCAGCAACATGTATATCTGATGATAAAGTATGACCGGAGATCTCAGGCCCTGCAGTGTATACCTTTCAATTGGAAGAAACGTTAGTGGCAACCAAAGAGAATCTAAAAAAGGTCAATAAAATTGAAGAGAAAAGTAAGAGTGAATCAAAAGAGCTACGTGACTCAATGCAAGAAGCAGTTGCGAAAGAACAAGACAGTATGGTAATGAAAAAACAACTCACACCGTGCAGTAAGGGACAAGAAGAGATGGATGAGAAGAATGGCTATATGAACTTGGATGATGAAAATGGTTTGTGTGAAGTAAAACAATGGAAAAAAGAAAAGACTAATGGTGACAATGAAAAATAGTTAATATTTTTTGAGTATGATGAAGAGGAAGCAGTACAAAAGATAAGTAGTAATTCCAACTCTGATGATAAAGTACGACTGGAGATCTCAGGCCCTGTGGCATATATCTTTCAATTGAAAAAAATGTTGGTAGTGACTAAAGAGAGTCTAAAAAAGGTCTATAAAACTAAAGAGAAGGGTGAGAGTGAATAAGAAGAGCTATGTGACTCAATGCAAGAAGTAGTTGCAAAAGAACAAGACAGTACGGTAATGAAGAAACAACCCATACTGTGCAGTAAGGGACAAGAAGAAATGGATGAAAATAATGGCTATATGAACTCGACACTGAACCACACTCCAATGATCCAGATCTCATTAAATGGTTAGTACAATAGGGAGAACTGTTAACGTTGCCAGAAGATCAATCAGAAACTATAGACATTGGAAAAACCAGAACAGATGAAGGAACGAAAAATCAACTTAGCAAAACAGAAGTAACATTAGCAAGGGAGCAAGACAGTACTGTCTGAGTCACATGATGAAGATCAGAGAAGACAGAAGTCAATGAGAATTTGGAGAATGAGCAAATACTAGGGGAGAAAAGAATGTCAAGCTTTCAGAAAGAATGGTTCAAGTGAGAGGATGTTCCAAGGTGACACGACAGATTGTTGATGTCGACTGTGATTCTCTCATCAATCAGGACATGCACGAAAGCCGGAAGGAAATGATTGAAAAAGAAATGATCTTTGTTATTACTTGGGAAACACATGTACCGGGTGATAAAATGTTCAGGCTATGCAATATCCCAACATCATGGCAACAATTGATAAATACACTTGGCTGCAAGTTAAGAAAAAAGCTTGTGATGGCGTACTTCAAGGTCTTACAAAATTAACATGTCACATGATGATAATAATCTATAAGATGGTTTGAATAAAGAATTCAGTAAAAGAATCCCTAATCAATGTGACCGGAAGTATTGTCCTGAAACTTGAATACGCAGTTTTAATTATTAGTTTATGAGATGATATAATATTAAATAAATAATGGTCAATAAATAAAATCAGTAATCGCTTGTCAAATCAGATAATTTTGTAGATATCTTATTTAATTAGTATCAGGGATATTATTTAAAAATAACTTTATTTAGAATTGAATAATACCCTCATACTATACAAAAGGAATACTTTATTAGGAGGTATTTTAGTAAGTGCTATATGGTAGTCTTGACACATATAGATTTTCAAGTCTATAGTCAATAGTAACAAGTTAACATAGAAATAAATTCATAGGTAGTTTTTTCCCATAATATATAATGTAAAACATATATGAAATAAATAAATAAATATATAAGTATGATCTAGTTAGTCAAGTTAATATATATATATATATTATAATGACTGGTGTATATCTTGTTTATTAAATATTGTTTTAAGTACTTTTAAATATAGGATATAGCTCTATTTATTTTTTAAACTATTTAGAATAATAAACTATCTATTAATAAGCTTATTTTTTTTTGTATTTCTTATATTATTAATATCAAAGCCTTAATAATATAGATAAAAAACTAACTTGTTAAAATATATACTTTTAAGTTTTCATTTGTTATTTAAACAAAAACTTAAAAGACTATTTAAATATAATTAGCTACAGACTAATTATATTTTATTGGCTTTAATTAAATCTATTAAAATTAAAAAAGTAAAAATAGAGATATATGTATATATTTAAATATAGATATTTATAAAAATCTGTAGAAAAACCTTTTTAAAACCTATAAGACATATTTGTAAAATTATAAAAGAGAAAAAACCACTTATTGTTTTAAAAAATCCCTATTTTGTATACTATTATAATTTCTAAATTAATTTGTAATTGGCCTATATTCCCAATATTTTCTTGACAATCTTTATCTAGTTTAAAAAATCTCTAACTAGAATTGGCCATTTGTTTTTTGTTTTAAGTGAAGTATTATTGTTATTATTTATTATAATTAAATAAAGTTCAATGTAAGATATAAAAGGATTGAATACTGTACTATAAGTAAATTTTATAAAAAAGAATAAAAAAATATTGGTTTTTATTTTTATTTGTAATTGTATATTTTATCATGTCAATATTGTTATTATATTTTTTATCTTGTATCTTCTAGTTATATAAGAAATACTATTTAATTTTTTGTTATTAAGAAGCCAATTATAACTCCAATAGTACTTTTAGTTTGCTATTCAAGACAACTTGTTTAAAAAAAAACTGTTTTTAACCTTATAGCTTCTTTATTAATAAGAAATATATTTCTAGAAAAAATACTGCTAACTAGTATATTTATAAGTTCTTTAATAGAAATTTTCTTTCAAAAGAAAGAAAACTTTCTAAAAAATTTTTTTTTAAAAATGTGTAATAAACAAGAAAAAGTTTTTTTTAATAATAAGAAAAAAAATTTTTTATAATAATTGACATACACTAGTCGAAATGAATTTATTCGGCATAATGCCACTTGTCAATCATTCATTAAAAAAGTATATAATTTGACTAATTAAAATTATATAACTTTTATCTTCGGCTATAAAGCGGCGTATAATTTATTCGTCACATAAATGGTACATTTTTTTTAAATCTTATTTTGAAGAAGTTAATATTTCGACAGTAAAATGGATAATTTATTTTTTGCGCCAAATATACA